CAGCGGCAACAATTTTTCTCGTTAATTTGAGGTAACTTATAGTGGATAAAAATTAAATGAATTTTCACATTCGTACTTAAAAGAACATTATCATACATTAAGAAAAACATACAAATGGTAAACAATAGATAAATATGAATACAAGGAAACAGATAATAAGCAGAACTGATTCGCAACATTGAAGTATTGGAATCAATTTATCGGAAGAAGATGAACTAAAGGAATACATACGAGGTCTGTTCAAAAAGTATCACGAATTTTGTGTATTTTCAAAAATTATTTATTTATTCATGAATATCTATTTTATCCCCTTCAAAGTAATCAACACCAGATATTATACATTTTTACCAGCGCTTTTTTCCAATTCTCTAAGCACTTCAAAAAATAACTTTTTAATTTTTTTTCTTTATCTCCTTAATCGTAGCGTAGCCTCGTCCTTTCATGGGCCTCTTCAGTTTCGGGAATAAGAAAAAGATGGGCAGGGGGCAGATCTGGGAAAACGGTGACTGCGGTATTATAAGTGTTGTTTCTGGCCAATAATTCGCGCACAAGCAACGATGTGTGAGCAGGGACGTTATTATGGTACAAAAGCTAATTTCTGTTCTTCCACAAATCCGAGCGTATCGGGCGGATTGCTTCACGCAAATTGCGCATAACTTCCAGGTAATATTCCTCGTTGACCGTTCTACCCTGTGGCAAGAACTCATGATGCACTACGCCCCTGCTGGCTCGCACGGCAGCTTTCATTGGAATGATTAAGCTTTAATTGCCACCTCATAACATAAACTCATGATTTGTCACCAGTTTTGTCCAACAGTTCCTTACCAATGCTAATGCGATGCTGTTTTTGGTCGAAATTAAGCACTTTTGGTATGAATTTCGCGACGACCCGTCTCATGTCCAAATCATTGATAAAAATCGAATGGTAGAAGCGAATCGATATTTTTAGGTCCTCAGAAACTTCTCTAACGGTGATTCGACGATTAGCCAATGCCAGTTTCTTCACTTCGTCAATGTTTGGGCCCTCTGTGAACATTTTGTGCCACCGATAAACGTTGCTTCAGTCTAACGTAACTTCACCATATGCCACAGTCAACATTCGGAATGCGTGCGCGCACTTAATTTTGTTTTTAACACAAAATTTGATACAGATTCTTTGATCCATTTTTTTGAATAGACAAAAATCGAAAACCAGCCAAAACGCATGCAAGCAAAGAAGCTGTCAAAAATTAACTGAATATTGAAAATGAACTTGTCGGTATAAGTGAGGGACATGAGTACCAACATAACGACACAAAAAAATCGAAAACCGAATATAAGTGACCGGCGGAAATTCAAAATTTGCGATACTTTTTGAACAGACCTTGAATTAGCACAAGAGAATAAGATTGTTGAGGCTGTCGTGGCTTCTCTATTTAATAAAGATAAGATTAGAGTAGCATATCATATTCATGCAGTGATTATTATATGTTATAAAATCATAAAATGTATAAAAATATGAAGGTAAAGAATATTTAAAATACAAACTACCTTTACCAATAATTAGCATATATGCTCAACTAAAAATGAACTAAGAATTAATAAGTTTCTGAGAATAAAATACAAAAATATGTCGTGTCGGACATAAACGAATTTTGGACAATTTGTTACTGAAGTGAGAAGGAAAATCTGCAACATGTATTTCAGTTCTGCCCTATAGTTTATCTAACAACAATGTTACGCTTGTTTTATCTTCTATTTCATAGGAAATTATCTAAAATTGCGTTCCCTTATGTTAAACGAGTATGTAACACATTAACTATTATACACATATTAACAGCAGTTACAGATTATAGTTTAGTTCTATTATTTTAGTAATGAAACAATGTTTTTTCAAGAAGACCATAAATATTGCGCAAATTGTTGAAGGCTATGGTTTAAATGACAATTAAGATCTATCTATTTCTTTTTATGTAGTAATTTGCTTGTTTCTTTTTAGTAACCTGTAAATCTATACCACATCTTTTTATTGACATATTTGTATACAAAGTAGGATATTAGGTTTGTATAAAATTTCGGTAATATTTAGATAAGAAATTAATTTTCTATTTTTTCAAGTATAATGTCTCTGCTCAATATATAGTGGCAGTACCACAAGACATGCTTTACATCTTGACTGTGGTATCTACACAGACACATTGAAGAACTAATTAAAAGTAACCAAAAGAGATATTCTTCCATATTATGATGGTAAGCCCTGAGTTAATAAATAATAACAATTACTTCACGTTTTTGATTTGTTTCGTTTTATTTTTGGAAAAATACTATTTGAAGCAGAGGCAGAAACAGGAGTTAGGAGGGGTAGAGGTAGACCTAGATTAGATTACTGTTCGGAAATAGTTAAGGATGTGGGTTGTTATAGTTTTAGGGAAATGCGAAGTTTAGCTCAGGATAGGAAAGAGTGGAGGTACGTGTCCAACCAGTCTTAGGACTGACGACCTTATGATGATGATGACTAATTGATANAAGGCCCAATAATTTGCCATTCATGGGCCAGTTTCCAAACCCTATATGGGATGGAGGGACTTCGTAAAAGAACGATGAGGATCCATGGGGAAAGGTTTATAAAATATGCAGAGGAAGGCGTAACACTATAACATGGGGAAGTATCAAGATTGATAGGGTATCTACCCTATCATTCAATGAAACGGCCAACGCCCTACTGACCTCTCTTTTTCCCGTCGATAACGATCATTCTTTCATTATGATAGAAACATCTCACCACCGGGAATTTCAATGGGATGAACTGGATACAGCTGCAAGTTCTATTACTTGTGGTAAGGCGGGTGGAATAGATGGAGTCTGTCTCGAAATGGTCCGCGCGATATGGCGATGCTGCCTGGTACATCTGTTGAACCTAATGAATACATGCCTAAAGGAAGAAGTATTCATCAAGAGCTGGAAAGTAGGAAAACTGGTCCTGCTTTTAAAGTCACCGGATAAGAACAAATCAGACCCCTCTTCATACCGACCAATCTGCCTATTACCATCTATGGGCAAATTATTAGAGAGATTGTTAATACAACGAATTATGGCTCCACTAAAAACAAATGTACAGACGATGAATGGATGTTTGTGAAATCTGTGTGAATCGGTCAGATGCTAAGTACGTGTTAGGAATCTTTATAGACTTCAAAGGAGCCTTTGATAACATTAGATGGCCCATAATCTTAGACAAACTAAAGGAACTTGGATGTACCGAATATAATATGTGGCTTAATTATTTCGACAACATTTGTCCCCTTATCATCGGGCGTTGAAACTGTTCAGAGAGAAATTAACCGAGGCTGTCCCAAGGCTCTATTTGTGGTTCATACTTTTGGAACTTACTAATGGACGAACTTTTATATAAACTAGAATCTGCTGGGGCCAGATTCGCTGCATTTGCGGACGATCTGGTCCTACTCGTTGGAGGGGACAGCAGAAGAGAAATAGAGAATAATGGGACGGCTCTAGTTGCAACAGATAAGGAATGGGGTGTAAACGTAGGAGTTGAGGTTTCCTCCTCCAAAACTGTTGCATTATGGTTAAAGGGACATTTATCCCACACACGTCCCCCAAACATACGATTAGGGGAAAAAAGCATAAAATTAGTTAAGTGCCTAAGGTACCTTGGAATCTATATAGGAGAACGGATGAATCACAGAGACCACTTCTTAAAACTAAGGGATAAACTAGTTAGCACAGTAGGGTGCTTGTTAAGAATTATGAGAGTAGATTGGGAGCTTAACAAAAAATCCCGCGGAATTATATATCGCTACCTGTTCACATCATGTGCTCTATATGGGGCCGGTGGCCTACTTGAAGTCATGCAGTTAGGTTATATCAAACAATTACTCAATAGATGTCAAAGAGTAACATTATACGGCTGCCTTAAAGTGTGCAGAACGGTATCGACGGAGGCAATGCAGGTTCTCATGGGGGAATTACCCTGAGACTTACAGTTCTATGGGAGAGGCATTAAATACCGAATCAAAAAAGGACTTACCTTGGGTGATCTGGATCTTATTACACCAGAAGAAATATCCCATCTAAGTAGTAAAGACCTGGACGCGCTATTGACGTGGCGACTGATGTCGCGCTGGCAAACCAGATGGGACACCAGTAGCAAAGGTAGAATCCTATACAATTACATGCCGGCGGTAACAACTTCAAAAGAAAAACCTTGGATTGATCCTACCCTCTACACTAACTTTCTACTTACGGGTTATGGAAGCTTTAACAAACACCTCCACAATCGAGGACTGGCACAATCTCCCCTTTGTATATGTGGTGAAACAGAGGATTACTATCATATCGTAGGGTGTTGTCCTCTATATGATGATCTAAGAGATTTACATGCCATGGGTATTACAGTATCTGAAGAAGGCCTACTTGATCTGAGTGGAGTGGTGGCCAATGAAGGTAATTTCAAGGCTTTTACATTATTCGCTTCTCAAGTGTTCCCAAGAAGATTGCTTCTCCTTCAATAAAGAATTACAGCATTAACCATCAATCCAACATCTATTATCAATATAATAACTTATCTTTCTGTGCTGCGTTGAAATATGCTGTGGGTCGTTGGCATTCACCAGCCGTTTTTACAAATCACCTTCCCTTCACTCGTTGTATTCCCAGTGAACGTAATTGTTCCATACCTTGTGTTGTAAACGCAGGGGCCGTGAAAGCGTAGATGTGAGCGTAATTAACGGCTTGGGGCTGGCGATCCCACGTACCCGAGCTGGCCTACCAGTGCCGGAGTTGCAAGTAATCCAACTGGGAGGAGTAGCTTTGTTACTCCGAACATCCAACCAGTGATGCTGACTGGTACTACGGGAGGATCAGAGGTTAGATTCGTAGTGGCAGTGGTTGACCCCGCACGCTGGGGGAGAGATGGCACACTAGTATCATCTGCTTTTGTGCTACATCAACGAGTGAGCGGCGTTCCGCTCGGGTACCAGGCCTGCTAAGCTTGGTAGGGATTAGATAGGTCCCGCCCGCACCAGAGGGTTCCAGATGGTCTTGCTAACCAAATGGAAGGACCTGGTAGCGGTGACATAGTCATCGCGCGCTGATTGAGCGTATCTCAATCCCACGCCCATGGGGGCCGTGGTGGATAGACTACCTAGTAGGAATCACCACGTTAAACTAAATAAACAGGGAATCTCCCCTTGGTTCGTCATTACAGTCCACCAGAAATGTACCTGTTATTTTTCTAATGGACTCCGTATAACAACCAAGGACACCCGTAATAATAACAAGACAATCAATTTATACACCGAACTCCCTGTTATCCCATCAGACTGCTCCCTCGAAAAAAATATAAAAACAAGTCACCAAATCTTCAACCCCTCAATTTAAACTACTTAAATAAAGAGACTTTAAACCTGACCGCAGCAGAACTCATGGGCATTAAGAACAAAATCGATACCGAAGAAGAAATAAAATTTTCAAAAATATAGGGTTGTTCGGAAAGTCATTTCGTTTTTTCCCGACAGAGGATTTAATTGTATTCTTTTGCACCCAACTTCACATTTAAGCCGTATAATTTTTATATGCTTTGAGAGCTCATATAGCAAGGCTTGTGTGTGAAA